GAACATCGTAGCTTGACAATATTAAGGTACAAAACAGGATATGTGTAACTGGGGTTTTATTTTAAGGTGTTTGTGTTAGCAGATATTTTAAATCCGTTTGATCATAGAAAACCATAATGAGTTCAACATCTGTCATCATGAGAACTGATAGCATATATGTATATATTTTTTAAAGTTTGTACTTTAAAAAGTGTTTTATTTTTGCAATAATGCCTTTATTAACTTCCATGATCATGTTGGGTGGTCTTTGTCCATGGTATGAAGCCATGGTCACGACAGACTGTAATTACGCCTCTCGTATTATTAACTGACACACATTTTTCAGGTTGTTGGGTCTTCTGCCAAGTGTTCATCTGGCAAGGCTCCTTGCTCCATCACGGCCGGCCGGACCCACTTCACCTGGAAATTCCTTCTGATTTGGGAGTACATTTCTTTTTCTGTATTTGAGATACCATTGACATATGTTACCACTGTGTACCTTGAAAGTGTACAGTGTGTTGATTTGATACATTTATATAGTCAATATGATTTCTACTGTAGCATTAGCTAACCCCTCCATCATGGCACATGACTGTTATTTCTTTTATGAATACATTGTTTTGAAGGTATTCTACCGCTGGAAAATTATTTTCTCTCAGTGATTTTATTTTTTTTAGAGCTCTATTTATTGTTAACCGGTGAAAGAAAAGGTTAAGAAAAAAAAATGTACCTGTGATTCCAATATTTGAAAAAGAACCTTAATGAGCTATAATTCACATACAATTCACCCATTAAAGGGGTAAAACGGAGTGGCTTTTAGTACATTCATGGAGTTGTGCCACTGACACCACAATGGATTTTTTGAACACTTGCATCATCTTCTCCAAGATGTGCCTCTTAGTACCTGTACCTCGTAGTTCTGACCCCCTCGTCCCCTCCAGCTCTGGGCAACACTAATTTACTTTGTCTCCATTGATTTGCCTATTGCAGACATTTCCTACAAATGGAATCCTACAATATGTGTTTCCTTGTTACTGACTTCTTTAACTTAGCATAATGATTTCAGACTTCATGTTGTGGCACCTCTCATATCTGTCTTTTTATGAAAGATTAATAAATATGTACCAAGAGCTAGCATTGTCCCTTTTATTGGGTGGATGTCTTGGATAGTCCATTCAAGGGGAATCACTCAGTCTAACCAGATGAAGCCTCATATCCTTGGTGTATTGATGGAAAATATGGCAGCATATATGGAGGCTGTATTTCTGGATCACACCATGTTGGTTTGAGCCGATGAGACAAAACTAGGAACCCTGGCTGAATTTTTGCAGGTGGTTCCAGTAGAGCTGCAGGTGACCTATCTTGCTTCCAGTAGTGCAGTAAGACAAAAGGCCTCTATCTCCTTTTATTACCAAATAGTATTCTATCGTACGGGTATAGCACATTGAATTTCTCGGTTCATCAGTTGATGGACGTTTGCGTTGTTTCCACTTTTTGGCTATTATAGCATGCGTTGGCCTACAAGCTTTGTGTGGACATGGATTTTAATTTCCTTTTTTTTTAAGTTTCTTTTCACTTATTTTTGGGGCGGGTGGGGGAGGGGCAGAGAGAGAGGGGGAGAGAGAATCCCAAGCAGGCTCTGTGCTGTCAGCCCAGGAACCCGACTTGAGGCTTGATCTCACAAACCGTGAGATTACGACCCAAGCTGAAATCAAGTGTTGGAGGCTTAGCCGACTGAGCCACCCAGGTGCCCCTGATTTCTTTTCATTATATTTCTAGGCGTGGAATTGTTGGGTCCTATGCTAACTCTATTTAGCCATTTGACGAACTGCCAGATTGTTTTGTAAAGCAGCCGTACCATTTTGTATTTATACTTGGGAGTGTGTGAGTGTTCCTGTTTCTCTACGTTCTAGTACTTGCTATTATCTGACTTACTGATTATAGCCATTTTAGTAGGTGTGAAGTGTGGTTTTCATTTGCATTTCCCTTACGGCGAATGATGTTAATTACCTTCTCATGTGCTTACTGCTCATTTGTATGACCTCTTCAGAGAAATGTCTATTCAGATCTTTTACCCATTTTTTAAAATAATTTTATTTTATTTTATTATTTTTGAGAGAGAGAGAGAGAGCACACATGAGGGAGGGGCAGGGAGAGAGAGAGAGGGACAGAGGAATCGAAGCAGGCTCTGTGCTCACAGCAGACAGCCTGATTCGGGGCTTGAACTCAACGAACTGTGAGACCATGGCCTGAGCCAAAGTCAGACACTTAACCGACTAAACCACCCGGGTGCCCCTACCCATTTATAAATTGTTATTTTTCTTTTTATTGAGGTATGAGTTCTTTATACATTTGACATGCAAGTCCCTTCTTAGAACTACTGTTTGCAAAAAAAAAAAATTTCCCATGATGTTGATGTTGTTCATTGCTGCTGTTTAGAAATATAGCTGATCTTGTATCTTGCAACCTTGCTAACCTCATTTATTAGTTTTAATAGGTTTTTAGTGGATTCCTTAGTGAGGATTTTCTATATATGAGGTTATATCATCTGCAAATAGAGATCGTTTTCTTTCTTTCCAATCTGGATGCCTTTTATTTCATTTTCTTGTCTTAATGCTCTGGCTAGAGCCTTTAATATATTGTTAGATACAAATGGTGAGAATGGACATCCTTACCTTGTTCCTGTGAATTTACAAGGCCTGCAAGACAGTCTGCAAAAATGAAAATGTTGGGACTATAAGTGTAAGTTTTAAGTAGCATAGCATGCATGAAAATTGGTACATCTTAGTATATATAATGTATTTCATGAACACATGTACTGTTCTCTGAGGGCAGATGTTATTATGATTGTTGAGTTAAAATCTGTCTTTGTCACCTAAAATAATTGTATAATTAGTCTGGGGTATTTCTGTCTGCGGGCTGTTTTAGGACTTAAACCTTGTATGTTTTACATCTTGTTCTTACAATGGTCCTGGAGTACAGTTATGACCTTCAGTATCACAGGTGGGGAAACTGACTCTAACTAAATTTTGTACCACCAGTGAGTACCAAAGCTAGAATTCAAACCCAGATCTGATTTTAAAACTCATATTCTTCCCATTCTTCCAATGCTGCTTTTCAAGCTTAAGGCAAAACCTTTCCCCTTTAGAAAATTCTAGGGGTGCCTAGGTGGCTCAGTTGGTTGAGTGTCTGACTTCGGCTCAGGTAATGATCTCACACTCCGTGAGTTTGAGCCCCACGTTGGGCTCCATGCTGACAGCTCAGAGCCTGGAGCCTGCTTCAGATTCTGTGTCTCCCTCTGCCTGTGCCCCTCTCCCACTCACACTCCATCTCTCTCTCTCTCTCTAAGATACACATTAAAAAAAAGAAAATTCTACAGCAATAAGCATTGTATAGGGGTCATCTAGAATAAAATATATTCAAAGCACCAAAAAACTGTATGTCATAATTTTGGCTTTTCAAAATCACTTTTTATTCCATTTGGTAGAGGGTTTTTTTTTTCCATACAAATATTTGCAACAATTTTGAAGTCCCCAAAACCATACATAGACGATAAATACCATGCTATTAAAGTATTAAATTTGTACAAAAATACTTTACAGCTTAATACTTGTTTGTTACAAATAAAAATACATATTTAAGTGACTCATGATCTTTTTTTTTTCTTTTTTTTTCTTAACATGATTCTGCTTTATACTTTCTTGCCCTGGCGGGTTGTGACATATGATTGAAATAATATATTTCTTTGCACAAAAAGAAAGGTGAACTTTTTCCTTAAACAAAGGACACAGTGTTCAAATGCTTTACCTAAGCAGTCGTTTGAATTATTGACCAAAATGAAGATGTTTGCAAAATAATCATTTCAGTATGGAGATTCTACAATCCATATACAGATCTATCTTTTTTTCAATATTCACCAAATAACAGTTATTAGTGTAACTATTCAAAATATCTGAACAAATGAGAACAGTTGCTGACAAACATTAAAAGCAACTGTCACAATTTATTGCTTTGAGGGATGGTAATAATTGGCAATGCATTTTGTGAAAGATGTATTTACAATTTCGAGAAGTGGCATGGCTCAGAACAAAAGATAGTCCAGTGTCATTTTAAAGTACGTGTCCTGTACACCCCTCTATAAACAGTTTTCCAAACATGTCAAGCAAGATGAGTTTGATTTGCGTATCATTAAGATAAACCTCATTTTAATAGACTCTTCATTCTCTCTTAAGTTCTTAGTTCTGAATTTTAAAAATAAGATAACTCATTCTCAGTGTTCCTAAGCACTCTAATTCATTATCAGAGATTTGCAGCTATTAAAAATGTGTCCTTAAAAAAAACAAAAACAAAAAAACAGGTCACAAGACATATCCTGTTTGTTAGTTTGTTGCATAGGGAATAGCATACATCTTAGTTAAGATCATTCCTATATTGGGGCAAAACATTTACCACCACCTATTATGGTCTCCTACGTGCATCATCGCTGAAACGTTTTAAGAGAACTTTAATGTTACACCTGTACCCCTCCCATGGCAGCAGTCCCCGGCCACATCTCAAACTCGAGTTCCCCTAGGAGAGCCAGCTTTGTGGAAAGACTTGGTCAAGTTCTTAACGTTAACGACTTCACGGTAAGAAACTGATTTCAAAGTGAATTAAGGAAATTGTCATAGAGAACAGTTTCAAACAGACATTTCTCTTTTCAAAAAGTGATTGGAAGATGAACTTGTAAAAAATTTCCTCTGATGTTAACTGGGGGGAGGGGTAGCCTGTCTACTTTTCTTTTTCTCTACCATTGGGCTTGGCAGGGAATTGGCTGCCATATACCATAGTGGTCACCAAGAAAGAAACCTCTTCAGCTTGAAAGGGGAAGTGAACATGAGCCATGAGAGAGATTTAAAAGACCCCTGTGCTTGCAGTTAATGCCACGTGATTATCTGTGCTTTAAATGCCACAGAAATCTGAAAGGGATATTTTAGCACCATGTAGATATTGTCTTTTGTCCTGCTTTATAAAAAGCGTTGCTATAATGTGTTAGTGGGTTCTCGTATCTCCAAATTACTACCGTGACTAGGCTGTTGGAAAAAAGCGCTGTTCTGTTCACTCCATTCTCCTCCTGGTAGAGTCTGTTCTATAGACTTCTGTGAGGCCAGTGGGTTTCTACTAATAACCAAGTCCAGCTTATTACCAGATTCTGCTATGAGGGGCACAACAAGGCAGCAGTCAAAGTCTCTCGTTCGGACGTGATTAACCTGAAAAATCAAGAAGGGCCACTTTGAATTATTGTCATAGTCTGAGATAATTCTCAAAACCCAGAGTAATACTTGCCATGTTAACAGGTGTCTGCTGATGCTTAAGTGAGCCCTCTACGCAGAGAGGTCTGTCCTTTCTCTGACCACCCTAGAAGGTGGTCATTGGCTGACTTATTCGTTGCTATTAAATTGTAAGGCCCTTGAGAGCTTGGAACAGGGACATGTCCCAACATCCCCATGCTGAGCAGATTGCCTCGCACATGGCATGTGGTCCTAGTGCCGAACATTATCCCTATAATTTCCAGATGAGGTAGGTGAGGCACAGAGTGGTTCAGAGATTTGCCTTAGATCAGCACTTGGTAAGCGGTCCAGATAGGATGTGATCCCAGGCAGTCTGGCTGACCCCAGAGCTGTGCTCTTGGCCGTGATGTTGAACTACCTCTCAGAAGTGAGCCCATCCCCTCCTCAGCTTTTGCATGTACTCATCTTCTTTTATTTCTCCTTGTTCTTCACCGGCAAGGGTTTCTAAACCATCTACGTGCCTGCTTCCACTCTTTGACTTTCCATTCTCAATCTTGCCACATCTGGAACCCGACACAGTGTACAAATGACCCCAACTGTCTAATACAGATACAGATACGGGTCTCATCTGCTTTGGCCTTTAGCACTGGCTGTGCCTGACAGCCACACATCCCTAAAACTCTCCTTCCTTGGCTCTCTGTGACATCAGTTTGTTTGGATCCATTTTAACTTGATTTCAGTTCTCGCCTACCTTTATTTCTTACTGTCCTTTACATTCGTTTTTCTTACGATTCTCTCCTTGATTCTGTTCTCTTTCTTACTATAAGCCCACCAGAGGTCACTTCATCCAAACCCATGCCTTCAGTAACCTAATCTCCTAAATCTGGCTCTGACGTCTCTTCGGAGCAACAAGTCCAAACTGCCAGTTGCCTCCCAGACTGCTCTACCCGGAAGTACTGAAGGCATTAAGGTCTCAGGTCAGATAGAGGTGTCTTACCCACACCTACCTCGTCTCCCTCCCTGTGGTCTTCCCCTTCCCCATTCTACACCAATCCACATATGGTATTATTCTATGGTCTTTCTAAATTAACAAATTATGTCACTTTTCTGCTTAAGAAATTAATATGCTTGAGAGCAAAGTCCAAGAGATTTACCGTGGCGTTCAAGGCCCTTCACAGTCTGAACCCAGTCTACCTTTGTAGCCACAACTTCCATGAAAGCAGGTACAGTGCAGCCCCAATTTATAGATTAGGAAGAGCCACATAGAAGTTAAGTAACCACAGTTATTCTTTCAACAAATATTAGAGTGTGGAAAATAAAAGTGTCCCATCCTGCCAGCATAAGACTAATTGTTCCATTGCTGTGGTAAAGACGATCGCCAGAACTGGTTTTAAAACCGTAATTGATCGGGGCGCCTGGGTGGCGCAGTCGGTTAAGCGTCCGACTTCAGCCAGGTCGCGATCTCGCGGTCCGTGAGTTCGAGCCCCGCATTGGGCTCTGGGCTGATGGCTCAGAGCCTGGAGCCTGTTTCTGATTCTGTGTCTCCCTCTCTCTCTGCCCCTTGCCCGTTCATGCTCTGTCTCTCTCTGTCCCAAAAATAAATAAACGTTGAAAAAAAAAAATTTTTAAACCGTAATTGATCAACGACAACTTGCTCTGGTGAACGCGTGTCTGAAGGCCAACCGATCAGTAGAGCCTCATGCTTTGAAAGTCAGCTCTTCGGTGCCAGACTCATTCCAGTTAGATACACTTTCAAGACTGATGTCAACCCTCTCTTCTTCCTACAAAATGCTATTCCTAAAAAGTGGATGTCAAGTCAGGAATTTGCTTAGCTCACTGAAACTATACATGACCATGATGGTATTCCACTCGGTAAACAAGGTTTGGCTTCTTGCTTTCAGATAATTGTGTGAGATGCTGAGATATCGGGTATTGTATACCGGGAGATGGGAGAGTAATGTACCAGCTCCGTTCTCAAGCTGTTTCTAAGCTGCTGGGGAATATACACAGGGAACCAATTTCAATGACTGGTAAATTTTACCAAAGGGAAAGGTTTTTATCCCATATAGAAGGGGCCCTAATCTAGTGTTGAGGCAAAGAAAGATGGGTAGGCATCGGTCAGGTAAGACTTTGGAAAGTTAAATTAGAATTTCACCTGAGGTCTTACCTGTAAGAGTCGGTCATAGGGTTTTAAGCCACCAAGGTCTCCTGGCCCAGCTGGGCGAATGTTTTTGACATATACTCCTTTCTCCAGCAAGCCATCTGCTACGCTGAACCCAAAATCTTCCACATCGGAGCTCTTGTACAAGGTCACCTGCAAAGTGAGAAAATGTGAAGGGGACATTTAGCTTGGCTGGACACTTGTTTTTTAAAAAAATTTTTTTAACGTTTATTTATTTTTGAGACAGAGAGAGACAGAGCATGAACAGGGGAGGGGCAGAGAGAGAGGGAGACACAGAATCGGAAACGGGCTCCAGGCTCTGAGCTGTCAGCACAGAGCCCGACGAGGGGCTCGAACTCACGGAGCGCGAGATCGTGACCTGAGCCGAAGTCGGACGCTTAACCGACCGAGCCACCCAGGCGCCCCTGGACACTTTTGTTTGTGAAACTTTTCGTGCCACAATTGTCTGACAATCTGTCAAACAAATTTACTCAGTAGCATCATAGATTTGGAATACATTAGGCAGCTCCCCATCCCCCTGCTGCTTTCCCCTTCTCCAAGAACATCCTTGGAATCTGTAAAGTCCCACTCAGAACTGAAAAGGAAGGAGAAGGGAACCACTGGAGAGTCCTGGTCTTTTTGTTGTTGTTGTTAATCACAGTCCTTGGATGGGTCTAGGAGAGCATTTTCCCAGGGCAGGCTGACTTCTCTATTTTCCTGAAGCAGCACCCGGGTGTTGGGGGGTAGCCAGTAGCAGCCCTTTGCAGCTGCTGGATATCAGGACCAAGCCAAAGGCCTTTCCTTCCTGCCCACCGAGCCCGATGCTGTGCCAGGTAAGCGCTCAGTATATCATTTTCCTTTGAGCAAGCGCCATGGACGCCAATGGTATGGTATCCCAATCAGAACGTCCATACTGAGAGCAAAAATGAGTTAAAAGACCTGAAAGTTTTCTTGTAACTGACACATTCTGGGGTCCGGCCTGAAGAGCAACCAGGCTTTGGTTTTAGCAACTCCAGGCACTGCCCCTTCTCAGCTAGGGGCCTCACTGGTTCCCTCCGCACCTGCAGCCACCTGTCGGTTCAAGCTTCCCATGATCCTCATGCCTCCCATCTGACCGCCTGCAAGAGTTACTCTGAGGTTCATACATTCCTCCGGTCATTCATACATTTCGCCAAATGTGTACTGAGTCTCTATGATGTTCTAAACATGGTGCTGGGTGCTGGGAAACAGCGGTGAACGAGAGAGGAGGCTGCCTTCCAGAGGCAAGCACATTTATGCGTAACATTTACTGAGCATATGCTGTCCCGGACCCTGCCAGGGGACATACTGAGCACTTTGTGCTCACCTAATGTTTTAAGCTGGCCACTGATACCGCTAAGATTTGCCGGATGCCCTCCATACAAACTGATGCACTCTTCAAGCAATGATCTGGGCTTTCTGTCTTAGGCTAATTATTTTTAAAAAATGTTTTCTTGTCTTTTGTTTTCATGCAAGTAATACATGAATATGTGTCTGTAAAACAGTAGAAAATTCAGAGCTGTACAGGGCAAAAAGTAAAGACGACACAGGTCTGTTTTTTATACCCACTTAATGTATTTCAGAGAAGTCGAGAATATTGAAAGAACTACAAAAAGTGGTGTTTGTGTTTTTTTTTTACTTCACTGGGCAGAGCGCTAAAATATCAAGCTGGCTGAGTCAGTACTATTCGCCAGACAGCCCTCATGGTTATTGCCATATCAGAGGTGAGGAAATTCAGTTTTATAGAGGTTAAGTAATTCTCCCAAGGTCACAAAGGTAATGAATAGCAGGGTCCTGTCTGTCTGATTCCAGACACCGCACACTTATGCCTTATTTCATAGGTTCTAAGATAAATATATATATATATATATATATATATATATATATATATATATATATATATATATATATATATATATATATATATATATTTAACTCTCTGAAATCAGGTGAGTTTCATAATAGATGGCATCTTACCTAGATCCTATGAATTAAGATATATAAACATTCTACCCCTACCTGGCTCTTTCCTACAAGTACACTGGAAGGATTTTGTTGCAACTTTGCTTTAAGAGAGAGAGAAAAAAAAATGTGCTTTGATGTGAGTTCCAGAACGGAAGCATCCACACCTCTCGGGAGCATGTTCCAAATGCAGAATCTCAGCCCCAGCGAACTGGCACCTGCAGATCCCTGGTGATCCCTGTGCACATTAGAATTGCTCCACGTGGTACTCCACAAACAAGAGGGGCTATCACATGTTTGGAAAAGAATCGAGGGAACCAAAGTTTAATGGAATGATAGCCTTTGTAGGCTCATTCTATCATTGTGTGCATGTGAATGTATGTGTGTGTGTGTGCGCATGTGCGCGCATGCACCCTACCATGTGCCAGGCACTGTTTTAAGGACTAAGGACATAGCACTTAAAAAATAAAAAGATACAGCAGTGAGCAAAACATAGCCTTCTTGAGTTTATCACCAGTGAAGATATCTGATTTAATCCTCGTAACAATCCTTAGAGATGGGTAAGGGTCTCAGGTTTTTTATTTATTTACTTATCTTTAAATTTTTTAGAGAGAGAGTGAGAGTGGCGGAGGGACTGAGACAGAGAGAATCCCAAGCAGGCTCCACGTTCAGCATGGAGCCCAACGCAGGGCTCAATCCCACGACCCTGGGATTAAGACCTGCGCCAAAATCAAGAGTTGGATGCTCAACCGACTGAGCCACCCAGATGCCCCAAAGTCTTAGTTTTTTTTTTTAAATTTTTTTTTTCAACGTTTATTTATTTTTGGGACAGAGAGAGACAGAGCATGAACAGGCGAGGGGCAGAGAGAGAGGGAGACACAGAATTGGAAACAGGCTCCAGGCTCTGAGCCATCAGCCCAGAGCCCGACGCGGGGCTCGAACTCACGGACCGTGAGATCGTGACCTGGCTGAAGTCGGATGCTTAACCGACTGCGCCACCCAGGTGCCCCCCCAAAGTCTTAGTTTTAAATGAGGTAGTGTATATGAAGTTTTAAAATCTGAAATGACTTGACTCCCAAGGAAGGATCACTTTCATGGCACTCAGTTAGTTGTACAGGTATAAAAGTAGAAAAACTTACTGCACTATGGAAGGTGTGTGTGTGTGTGTGTATACGTGTGACTACATGCGTGTGCGTAGCTTAGTAAAATCCAGCCCCCATCTGACGTGCACCCTGATGATGCACAGGGAGAAGAAGGTCTACACGAGTGAGAAAGTTCCCTCCAGACCAAAACTCATTAGGAGGTGAGGAGAAGTCTTTGTTGGTGACCCGGGCTCAGGTGGCCTTGGAGAGAATATGGAAGATTCACCCTCCCCCACACCCATCAAGCTCACTGAGTGGGGGAAAGAATCTGTTTTTTGTTCACTGATCTATCCCAAACCCCTAATACGGTGTCTGCCACATAGTAGGGTTAGTGTTTTGTCAAATAAATGAAAGGGCTGGTTCTGACATACCGAGTGGTTGACTATGGAAGCCAGTCAAAACTGGCCAAGAGGTGCTGTGCGCATGAACTACGAGGCATTTAATTCAAGCCGTGCTCCCCACTCCCTCTCCCGCCCCAGGGCTCTGCTGGGAATTCTCAAAGCTGCAGCTGCAGGGTGGCTGGGTTGCTAGGTGGCTGGGGCCAGGGCAGGATGAAGCTCAATGGCGACACCGTGTGGACGTGAGAGGTGAGACAGCCTCTGACGTTGAAGCCAGGCCTGCCCTCAGGGCTAAGGAAGCCCCCCCATTCTTGGGCAGGGCAGGGAGGTAGGATGGAGTGTCCTCCAGCAGGAAATACCAGACTTCTTGCTAAGAAGAGATGAAGCCTGAGCCTTGAATGAGCAGACTGAAAAGCAAACAGGATGTTACTGACTCTACCATGTCTGTGGAGTAGACCATACAGACGGGGAATTGAATTCAAGCTCAGAGAGTTAGAAACGTGTCCATAGTAAAATAGCGAGCAACAGAGAAGTGGTTCAAACCCAAGAGGTTCTGACTGCGAAGCTGAGATCTTTTCAAGGCACACTATCTCCTTAGCTAGCGTGTGGTTGTTTAATGAATACTCATTACAAAGAAGAATTTTTAGGCCTCTCTATAATTTTTTTTTTAATTTACAGTTTATTTATTTTGAGAAAGAGAGACAAAGTGAACAGAGGAGGGGCAGAAAAAGAGAGGGAGAGAGAGAATCCCAGGCAGGCTCTGCAATGGCAGCGCAGAGCCAGATGTGGGGCTCGAACTCACATGAGTTCGAACTCACACGAAACCGTGAGATCATGACCTGAGCTGAAACCAAGAGCAGGGTGGTTCACCGACCGAGCCACCCAGGGCCCCTAGGCCCCTCTATAATTATGATTTGGCCTCAGGCCACAGTTCAGGTGAGGTCTGCCCCTTTCCTAAGGTGGGGAGGGGAGTTATTGGAGAAAGGTATTAAAATTTTTTTTTTAATTCCCAGTTTTGTGGAGATATAATTGACATCCAGCTCTGTATAAGTTAAGGGACTTCGCATACATATATTGCAAAATCATTACCACCATAAGTTGAGTTAGGAGAAAGCTATTTTTTAACGAAAAATTTCAGATTCAAGAGTAGAGAGGCTAGAACAATGAATCCTCATAGACTCATCACTCAGACCCTACAACCCTTCAGGGCAGGCCACACTTGCTTCATCCACCCTTCTTTTTCCTTCTTTGGGGGATTATTTTAAGGTGAATGCCAATCCTTAAGTCATTTCACTCCTACATACCTCAGGATGAATCTCGGGGGGGGGGGGGGGGGGGGAGGACATGATCATTCTTTTTACATAACCTCAAGGTCATTAATTCATTCACAAACTAACCCTTATTCCTTGACACACTCCAATACCTTAGTCCATGACAAAATTTCCCTCGTTGTCTCAAAAGTGGTTTTTAGAGTCAGTTTGTTCAAATCAGGATCCCAACAAGGTCTACACTGGAATGTAAGGTGTCTTATGTGTCCTCTCATCTGGAACATGCCCCGTGCTGCTCCCTTACTGTGGGAACAGCACCTTTTGTCCCTCAGTGCACTCTTCTAGAGCCCATTTCCCTGTAAATGGAAGTTACCTCGGGATCCTTGATTGGAGTCAGGGTCAGCTTTGTGGGGAAGGGTGTGCTT